TTTTTTTTTTTTTTTTTTTTTTTGGTGAAGACAGGGTCTCACTCTGTCACCCAGGCTGGAGAGCAATGGCATGATCACAGCTCACTGTAGCTTCAGCCTCTCAAACTCAACCCTCTCACCTCAGCCTCCCAAGTATCTGGGACCACAGGTGTGCACCACCATGCCCAGATAACATTTTAAAATTTTTTTTACAGAGGCAGTCTCCCTATGTTCCCTAGGCTGATCTGGAAACTTCTGGCCTCAAGAAATCCTCTTCCCTTGCTCTCCCAAGGAGTTGAGATTGCAGGTGTAAGCCATGGCGCCTGGCCACTGAACTGGTTATGGGTTATCAGCATGTACTTCAAGTGATATGAGTACAAAACTATAAGACACAGAACATTTTTTTCTATGTTAGCATAAGAAGTGAGTTCTTATCTACTGAGTTACTAATACATGAAAAGGCAATCATTCTCATACAACATGTTTCCTCAAAATGAGGAAAGTAACACTTAAGAAAAAAAAATCCCTATCCATCCAAATGAAATAAGTGCTAGAAAAAAGTTAAAAAGGTACACTGAGGATGCACGTGGTTAAACAGCAAACACTCGCCATTGTGAACTTTCATACCCCATAGGAACATTTATTTGCTACAGAGGAAGGGAATGCCTCCTAAACAAGGTTATTTTATTTGTTAATACGGCACAGAAGCAAAAGGACGTCTAGAAAGTACCGCTCTCTTCTTGAAGACTAATAGGTTAGTTTCTCTAGGTACAGCAAGCAGCAGAAGTTAGATTTGGTGAGGTGTGCTGCGGGATTCATGACGCCTACAAGGTACATACATTACCTCAGAAGTTCAACTTTCTGCTGCATCTCACTGCACGTGATCTGCAAGTCATGCATCATTGCCTTCAGCTCTTCCTCCTTTTCTCCTTGAGAAAGTACATCTTTTCGCTTAACTAAAGTAGTGACTCTCTCCTTCAACTTCCTAGTCAGCTCCTGTAGCTTTGTTTTCTCCAGTTCTAATTCTGCTATTGTGGCCTGATGCTGAAAATGTCTGTCTTGAAAACTTAGGAAAGTAGTATCTTCCTCCAGTATAACTTGATTCTGTACTCTTGGCCTTTCTTGATGTGTCTGAATTGTTCTGTGTAACCAGTCAATTTCATGTGCTTTTACTTTTTCCAAGAGCTGTTTATTTCCCTGCTCAAGGTACTGGTTTTCTTGCTTACTTTCTTCTATGACATGATGTACCCTCCTAACCCTGGGCACACACTCTCCCAGTGTCTGATTGAGCTCAAGTGTATTTCTATCAGGTTCGACTTCCAGGTTCTCTAAACTGGCTTCCCATAAGCAGCCATCACACTGCTGGACCACGCTTTCCTGCAGCTTCTCAATTTTTCCTTGAAGTCTCAAAACCAGAACATTCAGCTCCTCATTTTCTATTCTGACCTCATCATAACTCTTTTCCAGGCTAAGGAATGTTTCCGTCACTTCCTCCATTTTCTTCAGCTCATCCTGCAACCTGAAAACCTCTGCAGTGAGTTCTTTATTATTTTCCAGTGCCTCATCGAAGCGTGTCTCCATCACTCTCAGCTCTTCCTGAAGGCAGTCATTTTCTCGGCTCGCATCTTCATACAACAGCTTATACTTGGGAGAAGCCTCAGGGATTCTCTCAAGCATCTTCAGTTTCTTTTGTAGCACAGAAACATCAAAAAGTAGGTCCTGTTTCTTTTCAGAAGCTCGATCGCAGTCTGCGCATAACATAATCAGCTGTTCCTGAAGCTGACTAATCTGATTCTTCAGCTCCCAGGATTCGGTCCTGGTCTCTTCACTGTTTTCAAGCTCGGAAAAACCCTCTACTGAAGCTTCAGACTCCTCTAGTTTGACTCCCTGTCTCTGAACAGAGCTTGTCCCTGTACTTCCCAGGTCCGGGACCTCATCATCTCCCAGGTCACTTAGGACACACCGCCTGCTCACACCTTCTACTTGCTTCATTTGGTTTTGCTGTAAAAACGGCTCTGTTTGTTCCACAGTATTTCCAAAAAACTCAGTAGTTGGCTCACCTAAACAGGAAGACATGACTACCCCTGGCTCCAGCTTTTGCAGCCTCTGCTGCAATCTGGAAATTTCAGTAGCCATTTTCACATTTTCCTTCACTGCTCGTTCATGAGCTCTCTGCAGGCTTAAGAGGACATCTCCATTTTCTTCCAACAGCTGCTCCCCTTGCTGAAGCAGGGACAGGGCTCCATCTCCTTCCACCTCCTCCTCTCCTATCACCTGGCAACCACTCTGAAGTGTGGAGAGAGGAGATGCTGCTTGCTGCATTTCCTTTATTTTACTCTGAAGTCTGGAGATTTCTGTGCTCATCTCAGCTCTTTCTCGATCTGCTTTCTCACAGGTTGCTTTGTGAATGTTCTCCATGGCCAGAAGCTTGGACATCATTTCCTGCCTTTCCTGGTCATGTTCCATTTCTAGTCTTTCCAGCCGCTGGCTAGCCAGCTGCTCCGAGGCCCCTGCCTGGCAAAGGACCTCCTCATGCTCCCTCAGTTCTCTTTCGTGACTGCTCTTCAGCTCGAGTACCTTGTCAGACAGCAGGCTTTGCTGGGTTTCAGATACATTTCTTAGGTCTTCCAGGTCTTGGAGCAGCTTCTCTCTCTCGATGACCATGCTGTTCAGATGTTCTTTGTAAGTTTTCTCCAGCATCTCCCTCTCCTGGGTCAGGACCAGAGAAGTTGCTTTCTCTCTCTTAAGAGTCTCTTTCAGCAGCTCCTGGGCTTCTGCACACTCCTGGGTGAGCTCGTCCTTCTCAAACTCCCACTGGGATTTCTCCTCGCGCTGCTGTTCCTGGAGGTCCTTCAGCTCTTGGCGGTAGCGCCCCTCCAGGCTTTGCAGAGCGCTTTCACACCTCTCAGTAACTTTCTGACAATCAGACTGAAATTGGGCTTCTATCTGAGAGGTTCTTCTATTACACTCTGTTTCCATTTTTTCCCTAAATGTAGTCAACATACAGCATTATTGAAACTGCCAACTCCAGAAGCAAACAAAAATCATTTTCCCATGCACTGAGAAAGCTGCTAAGCAGACAACTGAAATACTCCCTAAAAATGGTCTTAACTTATATAATTTCTTTATACTGGAAAGGGATCTCATTTCTGAAAGCTAAGACTGGCACTCATAATTCACTTAAAAGACTTGCCTCTCTTTGGAGTTAGGGGAAAATCTTAGAAACTAATTTCTCTGGCATACTCCTGGATGTATTTGTTTATGGATTTTTAAACCAAAGACTTAAATGACCAAATGCACATTAATCTAATCCCTAACTTGGGAAATATATACCATTCCTTCATTTTAATTAAGCATGCATTATAGGATATCAGTCACATAAACCACACATATTAACAAATTCATTCTGCCTTTGCTTCTTATTTAACCAAGTAGCACCAAGTCAATCAGGGTGTGATGAAATGAAGCCCTGGGATTTCACATGAGGAAGGTAGGCACAAAGTGCTGTTTCTTAACTCTGGGACGAAATGTAATCTTGCCTGGAATCCAGTTTATTAATAGCTTTTCTCAGAAAGCAATAGGATTGAGCTAGGAAGGAACCACTTTTGAGATAATCTTATCCTCCTCTTTAGCCTTGTAAGGTATAATAAATCTTAATACGAGGAATACTTTCCTCTTTTACAAACATAATGAAACAAAAACAGTTCCAGTCAACCCAAGGTAGGCTCACATCAAAACAGTAGCAAAAACAGTCAAAAATATTTCAAAGAATCTCATCAATGGGCTACTACTATGCCTTCTAATTTCTCCAAGCCTCTTAAGCAACTGGCACTGCTAATGCCCCAAGAGATGGCACCCCAGGCAGCTCCATTTCCCCTCACTTCTTACCTTCCCTCCTGAAGCTCCCTTTGGTGCTTTTCCAAGAGCTCTTTTCTCAACTCCTCTTTCTCAAGAGTGTGCCTCTCCCCCAGGCTTGTTAGCTGCTCCTGGTGAAACCGCTCTAGTTCCTGAGTCAAGCCTCTCACCTTCTCTTCCGTCCAGGCGCTACTCTGAAGGGCTTCCCTCTCCCGCTCAAAGCTGGCCTGCGCCTGTGCCAGTCTAGCCTTGAGCTCCAGCTCATGTTCCAGCCTCAGCGTCTCCTGCAGGTGAGCCTTTTCCTCCTCAAGCTTCACTTGCAGCTGCTTTTTCTCCTCCTCATGCCTGCAGATGGCCTCATGATGTGCCTCCTTGAGCACCTCAGCCTGCCCCTGAAGTTCGGCAATTTCATTTTTAAGGTCACTTATTTGTTTTTCCAAGGTGTGCATTTCGTTCTCATGCCTTTGCTTCATGTTTTCCTGCGCCTTCTTGCAGCTGACCACGGTTTCATCCAGCTGCTTTTCATAAAGGCGCATCTGAAAGCAGAGAGTGACACCACCACCAGATTACTCAGCTCAGGGCCACTGGAAGGGAGGTAATGAAGCAGCAAGTACTTTTTTTCCCCCTACAAGACATTTCTCAGTTTCCCCATCTTGTTTTAAAGTAACCGAATTTAACACTTTAAACAAGATATTTAAGTCAAGCATGGTTTACATATCTCTTTTAACTAACTGAATTTTATTAGTCTCTGAACAACTCTATTAAGAACTGAGCAGCCATTACATACAGATACCAACTGTCTTCCCATGCATCCTTTCCAACTGTAAACTTGAGTCTTAAAACATAAAAATTTTTTGAGATAGGTTCTTACTCTGTCACCCAAGCCGGAGTGCAATGGCAAGATTATGGCTCACTGCAACATCCACCTCCCGGGCTTGAGCAATCCTCCCACCTCTACCTCCTGAGTAACTAGAACTACAGGCACACACCACCATGCCCTGCTATTTTTTTTTTTTTTTTTTGTATTTTTTTGTAGAGATGGGGTCTCGCCATGTTGCCCAGACTGGTCCTGAACTCCTAGGCTCAAGTGATCTGCCCGCCGCGGCCTCCCAAAGTGTTGAGATTACAGGCATGAGCCTCTGTGCCCTGCTGGATCTTAAAATATTTAATTAAATTCAAATATTTATTGAACACCTATCAGGTACTTGAAGGCCTCAGAACACAACGCTGGGTAAGACGTGGTCCCTGCTATCCAGGAGAAACCAGTCTAGACATGGATATGACAACTATCAGTACAGTAGGAGGCAGAAAATAAAAGGTATAGAAAAAAGAGCTACAATACAACCCAGGGATTCGAAGGAGGGAAAAATCACATTTTTGTTGGAGAAACTCAAGAACGGCTTCATGCAACAGGCAGCATTAGCTATAAACCCTGAAGGGTAAGTAGACTTTCAAGAGGCAGAAAGAAACTAATATCAGCATAGTTTGTAATAGCACAAGCAAAAGAGGACACAGTTTGATGGACAACTGGGAACTGTAGCTGGGGGAGAAGGTCACTCAAAAGAATGGTGTCAGAGAGGACTGGAAACGTAAGTTGAAGCCTCCTGGTGAAGAGTTTAGAGGCCAAGGTTCAGAACTTGTACCAAATTTGGTAGGTAATGCAACATGAAAGGGCTTTAGTTTCATTGAGATGTTTTTTAGAAATAAATTGGAGGTAATATAATGGCTTTCAAACTTCACATTCCATTATTGCCAGGGCTGAAGATACATTTCGGAGAAACTCACTCTCCAGAAAAAATCAACCTACAAAACTATCCTGAGGATGTGGGTTCCCAGCATAAAATATGCTGCTCTGTGAGAAAAAAGAACTGGAAACGCTCTCCACACATAAGGTTGTCAGAGCCAAAAGAAATTAGAGAAGTGAATTGGTGGGGAAGGACTTACTTTATCTTCGAGCTCCAGTTTGAGGCAACATATGTCCCTGTGATGTTGTTCTTTCATCTGTTCAATGACCAGCTCTGCCTCAATGCTCATATTCAATGGGTTGCATTCTTCAGAACCGCGCCCTGAAAACACATGAGGCGCATTGATCCTGTGGCAGGTTCTTTCAGTAACACAATGTGGCATCTGAGGAGACATCCGATTTAACTAAGGAACAATTTCCAGCCTGAATTGCCACAGAATTCATCATGTACAGGCAGTGGATGAAACCTTAATAGAATCCATCTCTTTGAACAGTAGGTGGTGGTGGTGGTGGAAATTCTTGCTTAAAGGTGACTACCTCCTAAGGAAAATGCTGCAAATTGAGGTAGTAACATGAGGTAGTTTGGTCAAACCAACCGGACTCCTACCCATCCAGCAAATACTGAATGACAATGTGGCAGGAAAACGAATGGCCAGCCTGCTTGTTGCTGTGCCTTGAGGAGTTACCTTCATGGGTCACGCTATCTACAACCCATCGCTCCACATTACAGAAGACTGGCTATTTCCTATGAATCTCCTGGAGTGTGGGTAGATCCCCATTTTAAATTATCAGCTAAATTAAAAATATATATATAGGGCATAGGTTAGGAACCAGGATAGGGGCGTTGTGGGCAGAAATTCTCAACTCACGCATGAGCTCTTCTCTGCAACTGCCCATGATGATGACTGAGAGTAACACTGAAAATATAAAGCATAAGTTGGGGGCTGAACTCATACATAGATGCAAAGATTATGTCTAATCTCTTAAGGCAATGGGACCCAAAATAGCTTTGTTTGTGGGGCTACACAGGCAGGTGGGAGAAAGGGACTTTTCTTGGGTACAGGTCTAGCAGCTGAGATTGGCAGTCTTGCTTTGAGCCTTCTCTTCATATTTGATGGCATATACCCAACTGAGAAGTAACACCCAGGGTGTGAGCCACACCACGATCATACAGCTTCTTGTCCCCATGAGGAACAACCCCAACACTTGGCCATCTATGCAAAAGTCCATAACAGCTGCCGAGATATATCATATTGTGAGATCCTCAGACTAGAATGAGCTAAGAATCAGGAGGTCTTAAGGCCTCTTTGTCTCCTCCCTCCCCAGTCTGTTAATTATTCTACAGTAAGAGGAGGAATTAACCTGTATAAGAACAACACTCCTATCCCTAGTAGCACTGAAGAAAGTTATTTATAACAGAATAACTGATTATGGGCGCTCTCTGAAATCTAAACTCAACACACCAAGAAAAAAGGCAGGCTATCAGGAGAGAGGAAAGGCGCTCATAGTTAATATGGGAAGCTCCCAAACTGCCTTCCAAACTTGCCACTCAAAATCTTCCACAGAGGTACAGGAGGCCAGCCCTTATTTACCTTCTTTGTTCTGCTGAGGCAATACAGACATTCAACACAGCCAACATAAGAAAACCAGCTATGGATTCTGTAGTTTCTGGCTGGCCTGCTCTCTAAAACCATCTTTATACCAGTTAGGCGCGCTCTTTGAAGGGGAGAGCGAGAGCTCAGTGTCTGGATTCTAATACTCCCAAGGCTTAGATTCCCAGATTTTCAGCCAGTTTTTTGTTTTGTTAAACAAAGCAAATACCCTGGTGGTTTGATTCTTCCATTCCTTTGTTGACGCATAACAAAATCAGATGGAAGTGTTCTCATAAAAACTTCAAGGACAAATGAAAAACCAGACCACGAGTTATTTATGGCCAAAGTGTTGCATTATTATACTGAACCATGGTTCTAAAAGCAAAGGTAAAGGCTTTATCTAAAACCTGTCTGAATGTGTTTACCCTGGTTGGGCTCAATGCCACCGCTGTTAGCATCAAGTTCTTCTGACAGTGAGTTCTTCAAGGGAAGCCTGAGCACTCTGCCTTGTGCACGATATTCTTCCAGCTCAGACTGGAGTTCATCTACTTGGTCTTGTAATACCTGGGGTTTAAAAACCAACACAGGTCTCACATGTGACACCAAAAGCACAAGCAACAAAAAAAAGGATAAATTGGACATCATCAAAACAAAATCTTTTGTGCTTAAAAGGACACCATCAGGAAAGTAAAAACGTTTTGCAAAGTATCTATCTGATAAGGGACTTGTAAGTAGAATATATAAAGGCTATTACAACTCAATAATAAGACAGTTTTTAAAATGGGCAAATTATTTGAATATTTCTCTAATGAAAATATACAGATGACTAATAAATACATGTAAAAGATACTCAATATCAGTACCTATCAGGGAAAAACAAAGCCACAATGAGATAGCATTTCACGCCCACTAGGGTGGCAAGAATCAAAAAGACTTACAATTACGACTGTTGGTGAGGAAGTGGAGAAATTGGAACTATCATACTAGTGAGAATATAAAATAGTGCAACCACTTTGGAAGAAGTTTAGCAGTTCCTCAAAAGGTTAAACGTAGGGTTACCATATAACCTAGGTGAATGCCCACACGAAAACTTGCACACAAATTTTCATAGCTACGTTATTGATAATAGCCAAAAACTCCCAAATGTCCATTAACTGGTGAATGGAAAAACAAAATGTGGTCTCTCTACACAATGGAATATTATTCAAGAAATGAACTGATACATGCTACAACATGAACTTTAAAAACATTATGCTAAATGAAGGAAGTCGGTCACAAAGGGCTATTACCAGATTCCATTTATATGAAATGTATAGAATAGGCAAATCTGTAGAAAGAGTACATTAGTAGTTGCCTAGGGCTGGGGACATAGGAGAGATTATGGCTAAGTGGAGGAGGGGTTTCTTCCTGGGGTGATGAAAATGTTCTAAAATTGAACGCAGTGATGTTTACACAATTCTGTCAATACAATAAAAGACTGAATTTATACCTTGAATGGGTAAAACATATAGCGTATAAAGCTGTTAAGAAAACAAGTGGATGAGGCTGGACACGGTGGCTCACACCTGAATCCCAGCCCTTTGGGAGGCAAATCACTTGAGGTCAGGAGTTCAAGACCAGCGGGGACAACATAGTGAAACCCTGTCTCTACTAAAAAACAAACAAACAAACAAAATTATCCAGGTGTTGTGGTGGGCACCTGTAATCCTAACTACTCAGGGAACTGAGGCAAGAGAATCGCTTGAATCCAGGAGGTAGAGGCTGCAGTGAGCCAACATCAAGCCACTGCACTCCAGCCTGGGTGACACAGCAAGACTCTGTCTCAAAAGAAAGAAAATAAGTAGATGAACTGGGGGAATTTCTGAAGGTAGAGCTGACAAATTTTACTGATGAATTCATTAAATTTAAAGACATTTAGAAAATACCTTTGTTTGATTGGAACCATCAGCAGTTTAATTATGAAAGCAGTAGAAATGTTTCTTTTCTTAAACATGCACGTGTATTTCCTGAAAAGGAGGGCTGCAAGTAACTTCGTATTATAATTGTTTTCCTCATCTCTGCATAATTAAAATTTTTATTGTAGCAGTTGGAACTCAGTTATATTTGTCATCTTATTAAAATGAACACGTGTTTCTGGTTTAAGAAAAAAATTCAAATTCCTAACTTTAGGGGAATTTTTTTTAAGTTAAAGATTCTTGTTATTTGTAAAAATGTTTGTCTCTCTCCTGGCAGAAATTGGGAATGGTTTACTAGCTAAGACTTGAGTGGTTTCTGCTTCATTTGCATTTTATAAATAAATGGAGTAAGGAATGTATTCAGAAAAAAAAACCAAAAACCACAGGACAAACCCAAATCACATCAGATTAGGTCTGCAACAATCAATCAGGAAAGGCTAATTTTTGAATAAGCACATCACCATGCCCACATATTCTTCTATTTGGAATAAAACCACATTTTCCCCTCAGCACCAGCAATTTCTGACATAGATGAAGCAGACTTAAATGCAATTTGCATAATTTCCTATAGTTCCGGATATTGAATAATAATGTTAATAGCTAACATTTATGTAAAGGCTTACTCTATCCTTGGTTCTGTTCTAAGCACTTTACATACACTCACGGAATTTTCACTACAACCTTTTGTGGTGGGTGCTTTTATTTTTACCATTTTATGCATGAGGAATGGAAGCGCCCACAGATTAAGTGACTCGCTTAGGGTCACAGAGCTAGGGAACGGCAAAGCTAGGATCTGAACCCAGGCACTCCCGCACTTACTCAGTGTTCTCTGTCTACCTACCCTGCACTGCTGCTCATACTCATTTCTCATCTGTGTCAGTCTCTCCTCTTGCAGGAAGAACTCAGCACTGCTGGGATCGAGGTCACCAAACTAGAAGAGAAAAGGGCAAAGCTGTCATTCTTCCCGAGTGCCCTTCTTTGACCCAGCACAGCAAAGGCCCAGTTTCTGGTATTCACCCAGTCTCTTGAGTATGACAGGCATGTGACATTTAAGCACAAACACCACCAACTGAGTGATGTGTTCAACGAAGGCAGGGATCATTTCTCTGTGGCAGGCAATGTTCTCCTTCATAACCAACTTAGTAAATTATATCCCTGCAAAAGTTAGAGCTCCCTTTAGCTACTCCAGTAATTCCCTAACAAAAGTGTTCTGGTGGCACTGTTTCTGTTCTTTTGAATAAATAAACTACATAAAGTAGGCTGCCTATCAGGAAATTAGATTTGAACAGATTTACCTTTTCTGCTAACACATTTTCCAAATTTCGCTGAAGTTTGTTCGTCAGATTCTCATATTCTGCCAACTTCTCTGCATTTTCCAGAAGCTCATTTTCCAGACGACTGTTTTCCTGAACAAGCATGGGGAAATTTAATGTGGCACAGATTAAGAAATTAGCAAACTGTGGTACCATGTTATATATAGCATAAATCAGTACTGTAAAGATGTTTATCCATCTTAAAAGTTGTAGACTAAAGGAGGCAAAAGTAAATATAAAAGGTTCATATCTATTTTTTTTCCCATTTATTTTATTGCATTTTAGGTTTTGGGGTACATGTGAAGAACATTATAACAAAAAAAGTTTGCCTTTTTGTTTCCGATCATATAGGACTGTACTGTCCAAAAGAGGCAGCTGCCAGTAGCCACACTGGGTACTAAGCCCCCAAAGTGTGTCTAGTACAGACTGTAAAAGCCCCAAAATGTAAAATAGCTCAGTAATAATTTTTGTATACTGATGTGTCAAAGTGACAATCTTTTTGAGATACTGGATTAAATAAGATGATTTGAAATTAGTTTCACCTGTTTCTTTTCACCTTTCAATGTGGCTACTTACAAACTGAAATTACATGTGTGGGTTGCATTACGTATCTATTGGACAACATTGCCGTAGAATATAAAAATATTCTCAATAGACAGTATTGGCAAATGAAAGAAAATGATTACAAAACACCTTGTTCAGCTGCCAGCAAAAGAGAACTCAGAAAAAGTATAACAAGTAGAGTAACTCTAAAATAAATTTATTGATATGATTTGGTTTTCATTTAACTTATAAATTTATTTTGGTTTAAAGATGGCAAAACTGCACATATAAATTGCTCATGATTTGTATATGTTTATGTTACAATAAAGTAACACAGCAACTAAAACCCACAAAAGTTTTCTTAATTTAAAAGGATCTGTATATGTAATATTCTCAAGAAAGATTTCCAACCACATTTGCTAAAATACACACACACACACATGCGTGCGCCATTTGACATTTTTCTTTTCCAGTGTTAAAGGCTGATTGGAAGAACACCATTTTCAAAGTACATTTTGCCAAAAAAATACAAAGCCAGTATATTTTTACTATATGCTAGTTCACACCCTCATACACCAACGTAAGTAAAAAATAATGACCTGGAGCATTTGAAAAACACTACCTTCCCCTAAAATGCCAATTTCATAACATTAATCTTTCAAAGTACATCTAAATGTAGAGGCTAGAACAACATGGAGTAATCCCCTTGTATCAGGCAGTGTAGTTACTTGCTGCTCTGGAGATTGACAAATCAGATACTGTGATTATCTTGGGGAGGGAGGTGGATGTGGATATAACTCTATATGACCAAATGGCAAATGTGCTATCTCTTGGCAAGAAAAAAGTAAATGTAATGGGAATGAAAAAGTAATTTGGACTGCAGTGTTGGGGAAAGCAGTGAAGGAGTATAAATGTGCTCTGCCATCTGGGGCATGGACAGAGCTGAGGTAGGTGCAGTGGGGTCGGGGAGGGCATGGCACTGGGACTTGCTGGCAGGAGCTCAAGCTTGAAAGGTATGAAGACCTAATTAAACTCCAGAGCTTCTGTACAGCAAAAGAAACAATCATTAGAGTGAACCAGCAACCAACAGAATGGGAAAAAAATTTTGCAATCTACCCATCTGATAAAGAGCTAATATCCAGAATCTACAAAGAACTAAAACAGATTTACAAGAAAAAAACAAACCCTTCCAAAAGTGGGCAAAGGATATGAACAGACACTTTCCAAAAGAAGACATATATGAGGCCAAGAAAATGAAAAAATGCTCATCATCACTGGTCATTAGAGAAATCCAAATCAAAACAGCATTGAGATACCACCTCACACCAGTTAGAATGGCAATCATTAAAAAATCTGGAGACAACAGATGCTGGAGAGGATGTGGAGAAATAGGAACACTTTTACACTGTTGGTGGGAGTGTAAATTAGTTCAACCATTGTGGAAGACAGTGTGGCACTTCCTCAAGGACCCAGGAATAGAAATTCCATTTGACCCAGCAATCCCATTACTGGGTATATACCCAAAGGATTATAAATCACTCTATTATAAAGACACATGCACATGTATGTTCATAGTGGCACTATTTACAATAGCAAAGACCTGGAACCAACTCAAATGACCATCAACGATAGACTGGACAAGGAAAATGTGGCAAATATACACCAGGGAATACTATGCAGCCATTAAAAATGATGAGTTTGTATCCTTTGTAGGGACATGGATGAATTTGGAAACCATCATTCTCAGCAAACCGACACAAGAACAGAAAATCAAACACTGCATGTTCTCACTGATAGGTGGGTGTTGAACAATGAAAACACATGGACACAGGGAGGGGGGCATCACACACTGGGGTCTGTTGGGGGGGAAGAGGGGAGGGACAGTCGGGGGTAAGGAGGTCAGAGAGGGATAACATGGGAGAAATGACAGATGCAGGCGACGGGGGGATGGAGGCAGCAAACCACATTGCCATGTGTATACCTATGCAACAATCCTGCATGATCTACACATGTACCCCAGAACCAAAAGCACAGTTAAAAAAAAGAAAAAAAAAAGGTATGAGGATGAGCTCCCTTTCAGGAGCCTGGACTGCTAACACATTGTTTTTGTTGTTGTTTTCCGCAAAGGGTGGTAACCGCACAACTGTAACTGATCTTTAAGTTAGGTAACTGGTAGCCATATGGAGGTGGGAGAGATGGAAGAAATTAACGTGATCAGGATACACGTTAACTAACTGAGATATCATAATCAATTCTGAACCTAATCCGAGGCTGGAGAAATGCAGAGGAAGGAGATAAATCTGAAAGTCACGTCGAAGCATCAACATAACTTACAGACTGATAAGTAACAATGAGGGAAGATGACGAGGAATTTTAGCTTCTGAGACTTACACCTCATGGTGTTGATATTGATTAGGGAGAAATTCACGAGACGAAACAGATGGCTATGGAGTGAAAACTAGCTCAGTTTTTGATGTGAAGAGTTTCAAGAACCTTTCACAACAGCAGTAACGGCAAACATTTCCTACACACTTACTACTTTTCAGATACTGGATGTGCATCATCTCACTTAGTCTCCACATCAGTTCTATAGGGTAGATATTATGATTGTGCCCATTTTTAACATTAGGAAACAGACTGAAGAACCTGATCAAAGTTTTTCAGTAAGTGGTGGTACCCAGATGTGAACCAGGCAGCCTGACTCCAGAGCCCTTGTACCTTATTACCTGGTGTGAGTCCAGAAAAAAGAAGGACCACTTCCTTCACTGAGGCACAGGAAAGACAGGAGGATGTTTGAGAGGCAAGGTACATTTGGAGGCCGAAGTGGGAGGACTGTTTGAGGCCAGGGTTTGATACCAGCCTAGGCATCATAACAAGACCTCATTTCTACACATTTTTTTTTTAGACACAGAATCCTGCTCTGTCACCCAGGCTGGAGTACAGTGGCACGATCTCCACTCACTACAACCTCTATCTCCCAGGTCCAAGCAATTCTCCTGCCTCAGCCTCCCAAGTAGCTGGGATTACAGGCACCCACCACTACACCCAGCTAATTTTTTGTATTTTTAGTAGAGATAGGGCTTTACCATGTTGGCCAGGCTAATCTTGAACTCCTGACCTCAAGTGATCTGCCCTCCTTAGCCTCCCAAAGTGCTGGGATTGCAAAAAAAAAAAAATTTTTTTTTAATTAGCTGAGCATAACATGAGCCCATAGTCCCAGCTACTTGGCAGGCTGAGGCTGCAGGATCACTTGGGCCTAGGAGTTTGAGGCTGCAATAAGCTATGATTGCACCACTATACTCCAGTCTGGGTGACAGAGTGAGACCCCATCTCAAAAGAAAAGAAAAAGCACATTTGGAGGCCGAGAGAAACACGCATCCATGTAGCAGGAGGCAAGGCCATCTGCTAAGAATGAGGGGGGCGGGCAGGCAAGGAGAGAGGGCTCTGAGGGTGAGAGCCAGGTTTGGAGTAGCTGGAAGAAACAAGGGGTCAGCCAGGTGCCAAACAGTCCTGAAGACCCAGTGCACCCGTAGCAGGAGAGAAGAACAAGATATGCTAATCAATATTGTGAGCAAACCAGGAGACTGGGTAGCCCTGCTGAAAACCAGATTCTAGCAGGGCTCTGCCAAGTCTGCGGGAAGACCCAGCTGGGCAAACTTAGAGGATTTTTGGACTGAACTCTGTGCAAACATGCCCCCTTCCAAAGCTGTAGTTTTCCACATGGTGTTCCCAGCAGGGACGCAGACCACAGAACTAATACGATGATTACCTTTAAAGAGAGGGCCAGGCGGTCCCGGATATAGTTCTCTTCTGTTTTTGCCTTTTCGATTTCCTGTTCAAGTTCTAAACGCTGCTTGCCCGCCTGCTGCAGGATCTGCTCTCTCTCTTTTCGGAGTTCATTTTTTAAGGCTGCTATTCGCTCCTTGTACTCTTCATCCAGTTTCCTGCAAGGAAGAAAAATGACAAGCTGCCCTCACATCTTTCAGAGGTCCCAGTATTGACCCACCAAAAATGGAAACACAGAAACACTGAGATGAAAAGCACCAGAATAAAATATCTAGTGTGTCCTGCTTTCCCTTAGGGCTTCACCATACCTAAGTCACTCCAGGAGGTGTGGCCAACAGGCTGGCCAGCAGAGTTCCCTATGCTCTGTTCTGCCCCTGCAGCTGTAGGCACCACTGCCTTGGGCCAGGGTGGTGGGTGAGGAGGGGGCCTCACCTGAGGTTGTACTCATTCCGCCGCTCTATGGCCGCATGGTGATCATCTACCTCTGAGGCCATTAAAGACTTGAGCTTCTCGGCCTTGTCCAGATCAGATCGTAGCTTCTCTTTTTCTCTGACCACTTGATCAACCCGTTCCCTAGGATCAGAAATACACTGAGTTAATGGGAAACTGTTTCTAAGCAACAAGTAGACCCAGAAAAGCTCTCATCTGGCTTGCATCAATACAGAAGTAAAACCAAGACAACCAAAACACTCCCGAAACAAAAAGCACTTCGCCCTTCCCTTCCAAAGCCTACATGTCCATCTAAGTTCTCTGTAATTTTCCTACAGTTTACGGAAATGATAAACTGTAGAAAACAAACTGATTCCTGCAGCTGAATGACAGAAGGTAAGCAACATTTGCATACAGAATAGAAGGATGTCTATCCAAGGCATCTGAATGACCTGCTGGACAAGTCAGAAAGGGAATGGGGCAGGCAAACCTTCGCCTCAACTCACAGCAAATGCCGGATTTCAGCCTTAAAGCTGGCCAGAGCTGCCTGGTGAATGCTGTTCTTAGTGACCAAAAGTTCATTTTCAAGAGCCAGTGTTAATTCTGTCAAGTTGATATTTCCATCAAGGCTGAAATCCAAGGCCTAGAAATCAGAACAAGGCATAAGTTCAAAAACAAATCACTCATTCCACCCTCTGAAAGCAGAAAACATGAAGATTATACAAACTCTGAGAGTTGACAAAGATCTAGAAGTAGACAATTCCATTTCTTTAGTGATTGCCTAGAAACAGCCATCAATCTAGAACACAGTTAAGTTTTCTCTAAGAAAAGCATAACATTGTTATTTGCATTAAAACAAAAAAAAAAACTATCTTGGCCGGGTGCAGTGGCTCATGCATAATCCCAGCATTTTGGGAGGCCGAGGTGGGCCTATCATTTGAGGTCAGGAGTTCAAGACCAGCCTGGCCAACATGGTAAAACCCCGTCTCTACAAAAAATACAAAAATTAGCTGGACATGGTGGTAAGCGCCTATAGTCCCAGCTACTCGGGAGGCTAAGGCAAGAGAATTGCTTGATCCTGGGAGGTAGAGGTTGCAGTGAGCTGAGATCATGCCATTGAGACTCTGTCTCAAAAACAAAAACAAAAAAACACACCAAATCTAATGGCACTGGAAATAAACACAATAGTAAGAGTATTTCTCATGTCAATAATTTGGGGGTTAAACACACAGAAAGTACTTAACAGGCTCCCGGTTAAAAGGGCTAAAAAAAGCTACCTCTTATCTTTGAGACCTGGTGAACAGAAGAACCATTAAGGAGAAATCAAATCGAATCACAGTTTAAAAAAAAAATTGAAAATTTTCAGCCCTTCTCTGGTTTGTCATTTTTCTCCCGTCTTAGCTGCCACACCTTCAGGATCTCCTGGCTGTTCTCAATGCCCTCTTCCTGCCAGGTGTCGAGTATTCTCTCCACAGATGCATGGCCCATCCCATCATCCAGGCAGGAGAAGACCCGAAAGCCAATGGAACTCGTCATTGCCGATGGGGTTGTGGTACGTCGTCCACTCTCATCGAAAGACTGGAAGAAGGAACAGACCTGAGTAAGCCTAGCTTGATTCTGGGCATTTCAACAAGATATTGGTCAGTCCTGACCACAATGGGTAGAAGGCATGTTTCTCTAATTTACAGTGCTAGGAAAGAAGTCATGCAGCCTCTCTGATCTCTGTTCCCAAGTGAGTCAAGCCTACAGAGATTATCAAAACCAACTGTTTTGGTAGAGAGTTCTCTGACATAAGATGAGCTATGTCCCTAATTAACACCAGATTTCTTCTGACCCAGAGCTGACATTAAAACGCATACTTAGTGGTCTTCCCACTGTAATTTATGGTCATTTCTCAAACCCACCTTTCCTTCCTAATGGTTAAGTCTTTCTAATTCTTTTTTTGCTTCTCTCTCTTTCCTTAGTATTCTGCTTCAGACAACAGATTAATTTATCAGACATTACTCAAATGGGTTCTAACTTTTATTCACAAAGAAAGCACTTTTGCTTATTTTTTTACCTGCATGGAAAGGTGCCTTTTTAGTTGTCTGTATGGAGTAGATGCTGATGGTGTAAGGGATTTTCCATTTTTAAACAAACCATAGAAAAAATCTTCTACACTCATTGTACCATCAGGATCAAGATTATGGAATACTTCCTCAAGCCTCTGGAAGAGAGTCACCACATATTTTAAATACTTCACTCAAAACAACACAAGGCCCAAAGTTTACTTCTGGCCAATAGGAATCAGCACCATTGTTGGTTCCAGGACTACAGAAATATAATTATGCCCCTTTATTCTCATTTTACTGACTTCCCTTTCCAGTAATGATACACCCTCCTCCTTCGCACAAACTAAAGTCCATTTCCAACATCTTCATCATCTTATGCAATCTAACATAAGACGCTTTGTCTCTTTTACTCACGCTCCTACAATAGGCAATCTTTAATGTTGTTACACATTATTTTTACAAATTAAAAAACAGTTACCTAAATAATATAAAGATACAGCTTCCCAGTGTCATAAGTCACAACAGTAGAAAGTGGATGGACATCTGTTATATCTTTTTTTTTTTTGGAGACAGAGTCTTGTTCTGTTGCCCAGGCTGGAGTACAGTGACATGATCTTAGCTCACTGCAGCCTCTGCCTCCTGGGTTCAAGTGATTCTCCTGCCTCAGCCTCCTGAGTAGCTGGGATTATAGGCACGCACCACCACACCCAGCTAATTTAGTAGAGATGCGGTTTTACCATGTTGGCCAGGATGGTCTCGATCTCTTGACCTTGTGATCTGCCTGCCTTGGCCTCCCAAAGTGCTGGGATTATAGGTATGAGCCACCATGCCCAGCTCTGTTACACCTTTATATTGTGGTGACCCTAAGTGATATTTTGAATTTTTGAAATTGGTATGCTAGCACAGCAGAATTTGGTTTGGGATGGACTACAATGATATGATTACAATTCAGATTTGGGGTCTGAAATCCATACCTGGGGTATGGAACATACTTGCAACAATACTGCTTGTGTTGGCATTTTGTTTTAATGTTTTAGCACAGGAGAAACAAAGGTTGGGTGAGAAGGATTTTATGTGTGTGCTACAGAAGAGTTCCAAGAGATGCAAAGCCAAGGGAGTTCTGACTGGCTATTCTGCACCTTCTGATGGTAATCAAATAGCCCTTATCCTGTAATAGGGGGAAGGGGAGATTGGGCTACAGCCCCATCTAGAGGCTTGCCTGGGAATGGGTTGTTCCCTAGTTCCACAGAGGAATGGGAAGACAAATAGAGCAACGTGAATGACTGAAGCCACAGAACAAAGAGGAAAGGCAAGGCCCCGGGAAAGGCAAAGCCCTCCTACTAGCAGTCAGATTCCTCTTTATTCTGGGGGCTAAAATGTTTCTATAGAAACATGCCTCCAACATACAAAACGGAAATCTCTTGGAGAGCTTGTTAAAATGCAGACTCCAATATAGTAAGTCCAGTGGTGGGGACTCAGATTCAGCATTTCTAACAAGCTCCCAGTTGAGACCCATGCCACTGAGCAGCAAGGAGACAGAATAAGCAACAAATTGCTCTTGTTGCATTTGAGCCTACAACTGGAGCCCTTCTAACATAGGCCTAAATTCTCTGCAAAACATTCTCAAAGTTTTAGAATTCATTTCGTAAATCTGGACTCCTGCTAGGATTTATACAGTCTCATTACTGTTGATTTCATTCTTCATGTAAGAGCTTGAGGTAATTCTTTCATCTCAAATGCTTTTTTTTCTCCCCAATTCATATCCAATAGGAAACATAAGTTTCCATTCTTGCTTTCATATTACTTCCCCTGGAGGGAACTCTGAAACAAGAAAACCATTCTAAAGAGTGGAAATGTTTGTAAAAAGCAACAATTCCTAAAAGACAATCCTCTGATCAAATCAATGAAAAGATATTTGGGGTTGCCAAGATCCCTTAACTTTTCTGGTCCTGTTCTTATCAACCAAAATAATACTTTCCTAGAGGACAAGGCTTTCAGGACCACCATACCAGAAACTACAGTCAAGTCCAGGTGTGTTGACTGAAGTTAAGGTTAAGAGTTTGGCTCTAACCTTAGATCCGCACTGCTTGACCTTGTGACATCAGCCAAATCAGTGCATAGCTTGCAGACTGCCTAAAGACCTAGTACCTGCAGAGTCCTTCCAGTTATTTTAGATGGTGGAGTGGGCAAGTGATGAATAAAAGAGTGTGGATTCAGAAGATGTGGGTGGGCTAGGCAGATAACAATGCCTGTTAAATAAGCAACTGGGGCACACCCTACACTTCAAGCAGGAGCTGTCTCTGGAACTGAGGACATTCTTATTCCCCAGGATACATGGACTAGGTCTTTGGATGGTTGGTTTACTAAAGTGTAAGTGGGAAAATAATCATAAACCCAAACACTCAAAGAGGCCCGGAAGGTGATGTCAATGAATGAGGCAAGATGAGTTTAAGACATTAGAAAGTAGCTGGTTGGGCGTGCTGACTCATGCCTGTAATCCCTGCACTTTGGGAGGCCGAGGCAGAGGGATCACCCAAGGTCGGGAGTTCAAGACCAGCCTGACCAACATGGAGAAACTCCATCTTTACTAAAAATACAAAATTCATGAGGCATGGTGGTGCATGCCTGTAATCTCAGCTACTCGGGAGGCTGAGGCAGGAGAATTGCTTGAACCCAGGAGGAGGAAGTTGTGGTGAGCCAGGGCAACAAGAGTGAAACTCCATCTCAAAAAAAAAAAAGTATTGAGTTCTGGGAAACTGGACACAGGAGTGCATGTCCTCTCTAAAGGAGTGCACGTCCTCTCTAAGTCCTCTCTAAAGGAGCTCGTGTCCTCTCTAAAAGAGCGCATGTCTCTCTAAAGGAGCGCGTGTCCTCTCTAAAGGCTGCATCTTATTGCCCACAAAATGGAGCCAAATCTTTCAATTTTTAGAAAAATCTCCTGATTTTTTCCTTAATGTAGCAAAACGTTCAATTTTAACAACACTGGGCATGACAAATAAAATAGGCTTGGGGCCAGCTTTGACATTGAGCATGCTAGTGTGCATCTCTGCCCTGTCACCGTTCTTGATTTTGGAAAGGGTTGTGCTAGTTACAGGCGTAAGATAGTGACTCCAGCTCCCCTTCATGAACACAGAGAACAGCCATGATTTCACTCTCTCTATCAAATGAGAGGTGACTAAATCTAAAATGGCTTTCAGTTGTAAAATTTTAGGATTCCAAGTTAATGAGATCATCTTGAACTTCCAGCTCCTCTGTGGTTTAGAGCTTGTAATACTAAGTACTATAGTATTTCACTATTTTTCTTTAGCAGGAAAAACACTGAGTAAAAGCTATATTCAATAAGCAATCCTCTACTTGTCCTCAGGCCAGAGGAAAGTAACTAAATGTGCTACTTTTCCTGAGCTTTGGAAACTCCACCACAGAGGAAAATGCAGCTCTCCGCAAATGGGTACAGTTTATTCCAAGAACTGGTTTTAGATAAATAATCCAAGTTTGTACCATATTTTTTGGCAAAAACAACTCAAGATTCCGCATACTGCGCTGATTTATATTCAGGAAAAAAAATTTAATTTTATGACTCATAATCACCAATGAAAAATAAATTACCACTGAGCCATTAAGAAGGTAAACAAAGAGTATATAATGATCAAATATATAAGTAAGAAGGGGAAAACAAAAAAAATTCTGTAAGCTAGGCTACTCGTAAGCTTTTGATGATAAATCAAAAGCTATTATTTGTTTAGAAAAATAATATCACTTATCCCCTGAGCAAGCAGAAAGCATGGTTTAAAATATCATTACAATCAAAGATTCCCAAAGCTACAACTGTAGCCCTAATCTAACTCTCTCCAATCCTTATTTTCAGCTCACTGAAAGGAGTATCTTAGAATTATTTATATTCTTATGTTTCACGGCTATTCATGCACCCAGTTCTACCAGTTCCTCTCTTAATTTTTTAGAAAACCTTATAAAGCCCAGAGTTTCACCAAAGAAGGGTTTTTTTGGGGCCCCTTCAACACTCTTCTTAGTATTTTCAAAACAACAAATCTACCCTTTTCCATTTCCCCATGACCAGAATACTGCAGTGGCTGCTGCCTGCTCTCACCCAAGGTGCTCTTCATGCCAATATGTAAAAGCAGTTTAGCTCCTCGTCAGCAAGCAAGATTTTTCTATATATTGCTCAATCTGCTTAAGAACTCAGGGATGATACTCAATGTTCTTTCCAAAAACTTAAATTTATCATTCTGGCCTTCAAAACACTCCCCCAACTCAAATCTACTGAAATCCGTGCATAATCCTTCCTCCACACGTTTCCCACATTTTATTCTGTGAATGGCGCCTCTACAAATACATCTGACATCATACTACACAGAGCTAGTGCCTGACAGTTGCACATGGGAAAATATGCGTAGCACAGTGAGCTTACAAAATCTCGTGTCAGCTCTTGTCAGTTTTTTCTTTTGTTTTCTTTTTTTTTTTCTTTGAGACAGAGTCTCACTCTGTCACCCAGGCTGGAGTGCAGTGGCGTGATCTCGGCTCACTGCAACCTCCGCCTCCCAGGTTCAAGCGATTTTCCTGCCTCAGCCTCCCAAGTAGCTGGGACTACAGGCACGCACCACCATGCCCAGCTAATTTTTGTATTTTTAGTAGAGACAGGGTTTCACCATGTTGGCCAGGATGGTCTCGATCTCCTAACCTCGTGATCTGCCCGCCTCAGCCTCCCAAAGTGCTGAGATACAGGCGTGAACCATCGCGCCCAGCCAAGTTTTTCTTTTCAGCAGCACAACAAGAGCCCCTCAATGACAGAATCTTCATGAATGACTTCTTAGAAAAATAAGAAAATGGAGTCTAATAAGCTGCAGAGAGCCACGCTACTGCTGTTCCTAGCCTGTGGCCAGCTACGCTTTTACCGTCATCATTATTCCTGAGTAAATTATACTATGCGGTTTACCTCTCCGTCCACATTCTGTAAACCGTACTGCTCACAGATAGAGACCAGCTTCTTCCGGTTCAGGTGACCATCACGGGTGATCCCCAAATCTTCACACACTTCTTGCAATTTCTCTTCTATCCAGTCTTGGGGAGGCGAAGATCCGCTCTGTGAAGCATTCAAGTCATCTGGGTTCCAAAACCTTAACTGGCCTGAGACAGAGGCATATGTGGCATGATTTCCAAAGGAAATGCAAAAAGAGAGCGTACCTATTCTCAAAGAAAACTGTGCTTTTTGAAAATAAATATTATAAGAAAAAGACAATACATGTCAATTCCATTTTGATTTGGTTCTGAAGCTTACATGAAACAGAATCATTGTTCCTAAGGCAGCAAGTACAGCAAATGGGCACTTTTTTGGTCCCCGACAAGTCATACCTGTGTAATAATTTCCTGTGCAATACCGTGAAGTTCTAGGATTGTTTTATTTCAGCTGAGCACATCACAAGCTTAGGCTGTAGTGATCATAAGAGAAAGCTGGTTGAGGGCCATCATCAAGAACTCTATATGCCCTATCTCAACTATAGCTACCAGAACTTGTTACCTCCACTTTCCTTCCAGTCTAAGTACTACAGCATCTTTTGCTGAGAAGAAAATAATTTCATGATAAAATTCTCAAGACTAGACTATTCCCCAATCTTTACACATGAATATTCTGACATACAGAAACCAACAGTCCAGGTGAAAAAAAAAACAAAAAAATCAATGGTTGCAATAAGTTCCCAGTTATCTATACATTAAGGTAAATTCCATTTGAAAACTTAAGGATTAAACTACTTATTTAAAAATCGAAAGTGTTTATTTATTCCCTATTAAAAGTCCTCACTTCTAAATTTTGCACTTACACATTAGAGATTCTGTAAAGTCATTACTTAAACATGAGCTAATTACTGGCACAATTTTGTGTGCCTGGAAAAACCTCAGAGGATTGAAAGGCACATTTAGTGCTACTCCCACTCTTTACTAACAGGAATTAAGCCCATTACTGCTGTGTTGCTCCATGCTGGCGACCTAGAGAACAGGTTATAATTATACCTTAAGTACAAGTTAATCCACAAAGGGCTGTGAAGTGGGCTGAGGTTCTGTTAGCTGAACCACAGTGCCATCTGGTGGCCAGAGGATCAACGTGTTCTGATGCTGCTGTTTTTTGCTGCTTTTTTTTCTTTTTGACACGGAGTCTTGCTCTGTCACCCAGGCTGGAGTGCAATGGCACAATCTTGGCTCACTGCAACCTCCACCTCCTAGGTTCAAGCAATTCTCTGCCTCAGCCTCCCGAGTAGCTGGGATTACAGGTGCCTACCACCACACCCGGCTAATTTTTGTATTTTTAGTTAGAGATGAGGTGTCACCATCTTGGCCAGGCTGGTCTTGAACTCCTGACCTTGTGATCCACCCTCCTTGGCCTCCCAAAGTGGTGGAATTACAGGTGTGAGCTACCGGGCCTGGCCCTGATGCTTCTTAAATACATGTGAAACTTGTCACAGGATGCATTTTTAAAATTTATTATTTATTCTTATTTTTTGCAACAGTCTCTGTTATCTAAGTAGGAGTGTAGTGGCACAATCATGGCTCACTGCAGCCTCCAACTCTCAAGCTTAATGAATTCTCCCACCTCAGCCTCCTGATTAGCTGGGACAACAGGCACATGCTACCACACCTGGCTATTTTTAGTAGAGATGGGGTTTCGCCATGTTGCCCAGGGTGGTCTTGAACTCTTGGGCTCACGTGATTCTCTGTCTTGGCCTCCCAAAGTGCTGGGATTACAGGTGTGAGCCACTGTGTTTTGCCAAGGGATGCATTTTAATAAGTCACTATTTAGGACTGTTAGCAAATTAATTTCAAAGTCTATTTAAAAGAGAAATTAGCCCAGAAGTGAAATTATACATCTTAGTTGCCATCTCTTGCATAATATTAAATGCTAAGATTTTTAAACTAAGAGCTATCAATTGGGAATAATTTTTTTGTTGCTGTTGTTCTTAACATTAATTCCCAGCTAGCCTCCAGCATAGGAGATCAGAAAGACGGGACGTGGAGAGTACCCGGCAGCCCTTCCCTTCCAGGCACCTCCTGACACACTCAGCTCTTACCTTCCGCTTCATACTCCTCACTCCGTTGTGTCTTCCAGTGCTAGAGAAGGCAAGAGAAGATTCGTGTGCTTTAGAACGTATTCAGAAAGAACTGTCCTAGCTTTTCCTAGAGGAGATCACTCTCTGGCTCTGAAATCATCATCTAAGTGAGTCACATAATTTCAGGACTCTAGCGTATCTATCTAGATAAGTTCTCTTCAGTTAACCAGTCAATCAGGATGAGACTCCTAAGAAACACCACACAGCCTTCTGCAGCATTTCACCAAGGATCTGTCCTCATTTGCCAGGTCACTTATTCAACAGCAAAACCTATCACAACCAATTAAACCCAGCCAACGCAAGTATCCAGTATCCATCAACCAACAAATATTTGTACACAGGCATTTATGCATTTATTCTTCAATAAATGTGTACTGAGTGCTTCTTTTTGTGCTAGGTACTATGCTAGGTCTTGGTAGTACAACCATGAACAGGACAAACATATTTCCTGTCTCAAGAAGCTTATATGCTAATGAAGACATGCAGACAAGAAAACAGGAAGTACAACAGGGTAGTATTTTAAGTGCTATGACAAGAAAGTTCAGGATGCCATGTGGCTTCCCAAATGGGATACTTAAGACTTGGTAGATTGAGAAGAAGCAATGTCTAAACTGAGACCTGAAGGATAAACTGCAGAGAGCCAAATGAAAGAAGGGGACAGCTGTTATTTGCTGAGGCAAGGAAGCAAGAATGAGCTTGGTGTAGCTGTGGCATAGTGAGGAGACAGATGCAATTTAAAGTAAGTAGGCTAGAGAAAGTGTGAGCTAAGTAAAATGTACATTACCAGTAAATTACATTAAAGGCAGTTCAATTTACCTGAATTGGACTATTTTTGCCCTTCTCATGCTTCATTATTCCTGCCTCTTCTCCAAAGTCACAGCATACAGTTGCACTTACACATGTGTGTACTGCACAAAAGTGCCCTGCTAAGGGCACAAGTCAGGACCAAAATCCAGCCCTCCCTCCACTGGCCAGGCAGGTATGGGTCGTCTTTTGAGCAGCTGCAACAAGCAGGCCCACCATGGCTGTGGCTTCTAGTAAATGGCTTTAGCCTCTCCAGCAAGCTGCCTAAAACTAATCACTGTTATCGGGGACTATAACCATTCAAGAAAACCCTGCTAGAAAAGGTGAATCCTCCTTTTAAAACTGGGCTGCTGTCATGGCAATGATCCAGCTTTATGAATGAAGGTGACTTTGATAATAAATAACCAGCACATTTTCTGGGTAGCTGAACTGTACAAGGCTAGCTGATTTCTTAGAATCCAAAAATAAATTTGACAGGAAAGTCAGCCTAATTAATACCTGTCTCTAGAACTTGGATTCTTCATGGCAGATGGTGTGCCAGGTAAAATGTTTAGATGAAATGCTGTTTTTCAGTAGTTGGTTCAAGTTAATATGAGTTGAAGCTCTTCTTTCAGGCAACCTACACTCATCTACTTTATTCTCCACACTCACTAGTGGTAGTTCTCTCCCCTTAAATGAAGGCCAACCACTGATCACGGTTTCACAGGTCCATATTTTACTTAGAAAGATATTTAAGATAGTACCAATTCAGAGAGTTCATCTAATTTGGCCATACCAAGCTGACAATGCTGAGATGGGTTATTGTTAACAAACAGAAGACCCCAAAAGGCCATAACTCAAAATGTTTAAGTTCACTACAATTCATTCAGATTACAATGGAAAGTCACTAATAAACGTGGTATCAATGAAAACTGAATTACGACACAGTGTGATTTTTGCTTGTGATAACAATTTCATCAGCTCACTCAGCCTACATTTTACATAAGGATGTCTCTCCAATCTAGTGGATGTATGAGGCATGGTGGGGACAGGGAGTGAGTGGTAAAGTCAACAGTCCTTCATAAATTGTCTTACATTCTCATTTCGGGTCAGAATTAAACTGTTTGCACAAATTTTAAATCAACAAAATCATCCTGCCTGTCTGCCCCTCCACATTTATTTCCCTATTCAACAGAGCATACAATTTAAATGCTCATACTACTTTGACATCCAAAATTATGAAAATTCACTATTTAGCATACCAGTTGGAAATACCCCAGAACTAAATCCACTAATTCCAACTATGACAAATAAAACAGAGATTTATGTTCTCAGAGCCATTGGTCAAAACCTACCAAATCACAAGCAGGAGATGATTTCTAATAGCAGAAATGAATGGGAGAAATGGTAGAATATTTTATCACTGGCCCCAAACCATAAAGATAGTTCCAGTTGGAATATATAGCTGTAAAAATGCCACACACACACCTTCAAAAATCCTTCTCATTACTAAACCATTGGTTCATTTACTTCTCATTCATTAGAAAATAGCGAGCACAAAATTCAGAGAAGCAAGATGCTCCAATATGCTGTTTCCAATGTCTTATGAGTCCCTGGGACTGGGTGCCTATGTCTGGTTCACTCTCTGGGACAGTACTTTCCTGCTTCCTTCTTGCCTGGATTCTTATATTCCTAACAAATAAGGGATTGAATATAGAGTCCACCACTGCATAGACTCAGGAGCCAGAGTGCCTGGTGCTGAATTCTGGCTCCCTACCACTTTGGCCTTAGGCAAGTTTCTTGACGACTTCTGCCTCAGGTTAGAGAACTATCAGTCAGGGGACTATCAAATGGGAACAAAGTAGTACATATTTCATGGAGTTATGGTAAAGTGCTTAGAATTGTGCCTGGCAAATAATAAGTTCTATACAATTTTGTTATTTTTATTAGACATATGTTTATATGATTCATGCAGAATTTTCTTTTAATTCCCATGTTTAAACTCAAAGCATTCAATTGGGTAGGCCTGGGTAGGTATCCGTTATTCATACACATTTGTAAGAAAAATGCCAAGTCTCCCCAGCAGAGAAGCAAGGAACACAGACAATTCACATAAGAAGCAACATAATTTTTTTTTTTTTTTTTGAGATGGGGTCTCGCTCTGTCACCCAGGCTGGAGTGCAGTGGCACGGTCTTGGTTCACTGCAACCTCTGCCTCCTGGGTTCAAGAGATTCTCCTGCCTCAGCCTCCCAAGTAGCTGGGATTACAGGCGCACACCATCACACCCAGCTGAGGCAACATAATTTTTTTTTAAAGACATGGGGGAAGTTTCATCTCAACAGCAATCAGAGAAAGATTAAAACCAAGAAGTCATTTTGTTTAAAAAAAAAAAAAAAAGTCATTTTGTTCCTATTAAATCAGCAAAGTATTTAAGATATATCTCCCACTACCATCAAGGTTATGATTTAAAATAGGACTGTTTATATGTTATGGGTAGCACTTTAAATGATCATTATTCTTTTAGTAACATAAATGGCTTTATGTATCAAAAGCAATAAAAATGTTCACACTTTTTGATTCAATAATTTCACTTGGTATTCAGAGACAATAAAATCAAGGAGAAACAAAGGCTCTATGTGTAAATATGTACATCATAGCACTTTTTGTAACAAGAAAGTACTGAAAACAATTCAAATATTCAACAATAGAGCATAAAGTATAATGATACATTATAAGGTAGTCATTAAAAGTATAATTAAAAAACCATTTAGGAACATGGAAAAACATCTTACGAAATGTTAAATGAAACACCATTACAAAAACGCTGTCTATATCCTATGATTACCATCAGCAGAAATATTTATACAATTAGGCAAAGACCAGAAGGAAAGAGATGATAAAAACAGATGCACCTTGGTTCAAAGACCATGGGAAACAATTTCCTTTACTGTCATAAATGTTGTTGATGCGACAGAAATAGGTACAACTTTCACTATTTATTTGCCCACTAAATTCTCACTAAATTTATTTCCTGTGACTAAGGGGTGGGAGAAAGGGAAGTTCCCTCCTTTTGGTAAAGATTGCTCTGTAGCATCTGCAACATCTCCCTCTATTATGACAGATGAGAAGGTTTGGTGGGAAGCCCACGTGCTGCTTAGGCAGGCGGATGTTGGATGCCAAAGCCTCCCAAATTTAGCAGACTGTGGCAAGATCAGAGACACTCAACTGAGACCTGCCATGTGAACTGAGACCATCCCAAAGAGGCATTCCTGGGACAGTCCAACCCAACAGTGCCAGATACAGCACGGCCTTCGAAAGCCCAGACAGCATCCTCATCTTTAATGATTTCACACAAAATCTTTTTTTTTTTTTTTTTTTTTTTTTTTTGTGACGGAGTTTCGCTCTTGTTACCCAGGCTGGAGTGCAATGGCGCGATCTCGGCTCACCGCAACCTCCGCCTCCTGGGTTCAGGCAATTCTCCTGCCTCAGCCTCCTGAGTAGCTGGGACTACAGGCACGCGCCACCATGCCCAGCTAATTTTTTGTAGTTTTTAGTAGAGACAGGGTTTCACCATGTTGACCAGGATGGTCTGGATCTCTTGACCTCGTGATCCACCCGCCTCGGCCTCCCAAAGTGCTGGGATTACAGGCTTGAGCCACCGCGCCTGGCCTCACACAAAATCTTAAGGCAAGTGGGGGTGGGGGTTGGGGGAAAAGGACAGTTTAAACATGGTTTTTCTTTGTTTTTAAGATGGAGTCTCGCTCTTTTCTGCATCCTCGACCTCCCAGGCTCAGGTGATCTTCCAGCCCTCCCCACTGACCCACCCACAGGTGCCTGCTACCACACCTGGCTAATTTTTGTATATATATATATATATATATATATATATATTTATTTATTTATTTATTTTTTGGTAGAGATGGGGTTTTGCCATATTGCCCAGGCTGGTCTTGAATTTTTGGGCTCGAGCGATCCACCCACCTCAGCCTCCCAAAGTGCTGGAATTATAAGTGTGAGCCACTACACCCAGCCAGTTTAAACATGCTTTGAAGTCTTCTGGGAATAGTGGTATCCCAAGCATTCCTCCCAAGATCCTTTTTAAGAAACACAGATCCAGCCAGGACCACCCTGCTAAAAGGAGAAGCGGGCTTATGCTATTGGCTACATCTTCACTCCAAGACCACCTCATTTGGAGATGGGGCTTACCACACTGATGT